ATGCTGCTATTACTACTACTACTACTACTACTACTACTACGACTACCACGACTACCACGACTACCACTACTACCACTACTACTACTACTACTACTACTACTACTACTACTACTCCTGCTGCTGCTACTACCACTACTACTACTACTACTTCTACTGATACTGCTAAGACTGCTGCTGCTGCTGCTACTACTACTACTACTATTATTATTAAAGAACTGACGCACTCCCTTACGCAAACGAAGGTTTCGGCTAGGTGACGCACAGGTATGCACACTCGTGCAGCTATACCTGGTTTGACAGAGGCGTAGTACGCGTATACCACCTGTGAAACCGGAGCGCGCATGCTCACTGCAATAAAGGTGGAAGGTCGCGCATGTGATTCTCCCAGTAGCTGTCCTTCATTGTTTGCTTGTATGTCGGGAAATAGATAGGAAAGGATGGTACTGACAACCACTTTTACAACAGGTGTCCGGCGCAAGGTTTACATATGCGGTACGAGAATCCTACTATCATTCGTTTAATCTGTTATTCTTAGGTTATGAATAAGTGTCATAGTGTCCGATAGTGTCGTGGTGTCGTCGTCATCGTCGTAGAGTAGTAGTAGTTTCGTCGTAATAGGCCTCGTAGTCGTCGTAGTAGTCGTCGTAGAGTCGTAGAGTCGTAGAGTAGGAGTAGGAGTAGTAGTAGTAGTAGTAGTAGTAGCAGTAATAGTAGTAGTAGTAGTAGTAGTAGTAGTTGTTGTTGTTGTATTTTCGGCCTTCTCGTGTCGGCGGAGGTCGGCATTCCATCGCAAATAAAGAAATTTGCCGTCCTCGATCAAGCCCAGCTGCTCCAATTTCAGGAGGCTTTCTTCGCCCTCGTCCGTCTCGAGGATCTCCACTTTGCTGCAGAGCATGCTGATCATACAGTACATCAGGGTGGTTCGGAGGGTGGCGTTGAGGTTCTGCGGCTCCGCGTCCTTCTTGTTGCGCCAACTGGTTGCTGCCTGGTAGAGGTTCTTCACGATGGCCCATTGGGCGGTGGAGGTTTGGCCTTCCTCTTGTGGAAGGCGGGGTTGCATATTCGTCTTGAGAAAAACCATGAAGTCCAGGTCCATTTGAAGGTAGGAGATCGTGTCCGCTTGCCGAAGGACCAATCTGGTGACTTCCTTCACCGGTCTGCGTCAGTCCGGGCTTCGTCCTGCTTCCACCACTGTGGCTTGAAGCCGCCTCTTGAAGAATTGCCCCAGTACGGTTTGCCAGCGGGGCTTGCATTGGGGACGGGCTGTTGCGGATGGTCTTGGCAGTCCCTTGTCCTGCTCTGTCCCCTCTCCCTTTCCTGCAGCCTTGGCGTACTTGGGCTGCGGTGTGGTGGCAGGGTCCAGCTCCGAGTCCGGAGCTCGCTTGTCCGTCTCCTTGGTGTCCATGGCTTCGTGCAACCTGTTTGGGAGGGCGCTGCTGTGGAGGTAGGGCTGCTCTGCAGGATCTTGGAGGAGGGATTGTAGGCCTCGAACTGAGACAGTTCCCGCCGTGCTCGCTGGAGTTCCAATTCGTCCTGAGTGGTCATTCTCAAGGATGACTTTTTGGTCTGACCTGTCGGATGCAAATTGTAGTATAGGCTTAACAGGTGCCCACATGTCCAAAAGACTGGGCATGCTCTCTGGTGTGCCTTGGCCCGCTGCTTGTAAATCAAGCCACACCAGCGACACGGCTGGCCAACTCCGCTCTTTGCTTGAACCCAAGCTCTCACTGATGGTTCAGCTTCTGCTATGGCCTTATGTTGCTTGCACGCATGTCTGGCAATGTACATGCTACTGCTGCAAAGGTATCTGCAAATTGGGCAGTGACCTGCATTGACTTCAAAGCGAACAGCAGCTGCTAATTGCTGAACGTGTCCTAGTTTTGCCAGTTCCTGAATTTTCGGCTGCTGTTGCAAGGGTAGCGGAGGCTCGGCGGCATTATGTGGGGCCAGGCTCGCTTCTGACAGTGCAGCCGGTTAGCTCCCCGGTGCGAACACCCTGGCTGATGGGTCTTTGCATTGCTGCCGAAGAACACGGGGCAGGCCTGTTGATGAAAGTGCCCCATGAAGGCTCGCGGCCAAGCGAATTGCTTGCCACAGTGCCGGCATTCAGGTTTGCCGTTGCATGAATGTGCCATGTACTCATCTGTACGATAAGAGTTGCTAGCAGAGCTTTGCTTAGTTTTGGCTTTGCTGGCTTCAGGATGGGATTTGCCAACGTGGGTGCGCATCGCATGAAGGCTCCTGACCTAAAAGCTGCTTCCATCTAAGGAGGGTGATGGCCGGCTGAAGTCGGGATAAGTACTGTTGTGCGGACTGTAGTCGCTTTGTGGTAGCTGTCAAGAGTTGTTCAACTGGGTCAGGCAGTTTGTGTTTTCCATAGAATTGCTGATGGGATTCGTGATTTATGTGTGCCGGGCTTCGCACAACCATTCTGAGCTGTTTAGTCACTTGCGTTCTGATGGCATGGGCACCTTGGGTGTCGAGCGTGATGGTGCTCAGACCATAGAAAAGCACCGAATGTATGCAGGCATCCCAGAGCTGGAAGCGTGTGCGGACCGGCAGGGCCCTGCTGATTAACACCCTGTGCAATCTGTGAAAAGATTGCCAAGCCTGCTGTATACGGTATAGTACGGTGCTGTGTTCGTAATGTCCATAACCTATTTGACACCCAAGTAGACATGCTCCTTGCGTATGGGGAGGTTGATTGGGCCTTGTTTGGTGGGTATGCAGAGAGCTTTGCCGTCCTTTAGCTGCTTTATGCTGTGCTGGATGATGTGGGGCTTGGGTGCCTCCGAACGACATAATGATGACAGTCTTTTCATACGATGCCATCATGCCAAAGGCCGCTAGGTCATCAAGGCTGCTTGACTGCAAGCAAGCATTCTTGAACTGCAAGCTAGATTGAATCTCCCATGCAATGTGGTAGTCGTCTGCGTACATCGTGATTTGTTCTGGCAGCAGGTACTGCTCTAGCTTTGTAAAAACCAGGACGGTCAATGAGGCCGACAATAGCGGCGCAAGGCCGCATCTTTGTCTGATTCCTGCTCCAGGCCTGATCTCGGAGGTGTAGTCGTCTTTGACAAAGACTAGCATCATTTCATCGTGTAGGTAGAGTACGAGGCTTATCAAATCCTCAGGAGCCTGAATGTGGCGTAAGGATTGTTCTAGTCTATCCCTAGGAAGCCTATCAAAGGCTTTCGAAAGGTCCAAGGATTTGCATACCTCCTCGGATCAGGGATCTGGGGCGGGATCGATGCACGGCTGCTGCCGGGAGTCTGCAACCCGTTGCCTGATGCGACTGCAATGGGCATTGACCTTGTCTAAAGCATTGCTGGGAGCAGGCTTATCGGACGGAGGTTTCGCGGGGTGGTTGGTGGTTTTTGGGGTTTAGGTAGCAGGGCCATATAGGCCTTATGCCAAGCGCTGGGGATGAAAAGGCGACCATTGCTGAAGCGATGTTGAAAAATCTCGATACAGCACGTCGATGATGCTTTGGCGGCATGTGCGCCAAAGCTCGGCTGGTGCCTGTCCCTTTGGCAGGGCCTTACGAGGGGATAAGGGGAGCACTGCTGATTGAATCTCTTCCCTGGTAATGTTGAGTGGTTGTTGTAGGTGGAAGGACTGCATAGAGCGCTGAGCTGGTACTTGATAGAGTGTGGTGCAGTATTTTGTTATTTCCTGGATGGACTGCTCAGGGTTGAGTAATCCATGTTCCTTGTTGTTGCGGTGTATGGAGCGCCGGGGGTTCTTTGGCTGGTGCTGGTGTATAAATTTTTAGAATCAGCGGCCTGTGCCTGTGCTAAGAGTTCTTCTGCATGTTGCTTCTTATCACGTCTCAGTCGGTTGTTCAAGGATTTGGTGTATTTGTTATACCGTAAGAAGATTGCCAGGCTGCGAGCGAGCAGTGCAGGTTCCGGCGAGCGGATCTTCATTGGAGTGCTGGTGTCAGCTGGGAAGTCCAACTGACGTTGAACAGCCTACCCTGCAGGCTCTCCTTGGCAGCTCGCATGTGCCTGTGATCCCAGTATTCTGAAAGATTGGGTCGGCTGGGTCGGGCAGAGGGTTGAGTCTGTGAGGCCGTGCAGTTCTGCCAGGTGCTTTGCAGAATGGGATCGATATTAGCGGCTGTAATGTTCGGTGCGCGAAGAGCCTGGGTGGCGGCCTCTTCGTACAGTTGACGAAGGGTGCTGTCTCGCAATGATCAGCACACCTGTCCTGCTGTAAGGGATTTTTGTCCAAGTGAGGTGTTAGGAACCTTAGGTGGAGGGAGGTGGAAACGTATGGGGTAATGCCGCATCCCTGTTTCTGCAACCAGCAGGTGTGCCTGATCTATGCGGACGCGTAGTGCAGAGAGTGCACAGGGCATGCGGCGCAGCACATGATCAATCTGCACCGGTTGATTTTTGTGATTGACAAAGGTAGCTGAAGGCCGGCCTGCTCTTTTCCAGGTATGCACGGCGATAAGACCATTACTTTGTATGAATCCCTGCAGTGCACTTTGGTCTTTATGGGCTGAGGTCTTATAGCTAAACCTGGGCCTACGTTGGGGTGGTGCTTGAGCTCCGAGTTCATGTCTCCGGCAATGACCAGGCTGTTGCGTTTGGGCACAGCGGCGGTCCAGCTCTGCAGAGTGGACCAGATCTTTGCACGATCCTGTATCAACAAGTCCTGCGGATCTGCAGACTGTCCCTGACTCTTGGAAGGATTCCATGCGTGCTGGTGAACATCGAGGAGATCGATTGGGGGCTCAGTGCACAATCCTGCATGTTGCACTCTACCCGGTATGATATCATTGTATTGCAGTTGGGAGTTATGGGAAGTGTGATGCTGGACAGCTATGAGCAGTCCACTCGTGCTGGTGCCATCCGAGCTGGAAATGCACTGCCACCCATTGCGAGTGAATTCGCTGGCAACGGTCCAATGGGTCTCCTGTAGGCACATCAATTCGTACAATTGGTATCTTGATGTAGTAGAAGTGCTTCAAGTTTGGTTTTGGGCTGTGAGCGGGCCTAGTTAGTAACCTTCCTCTATACCACGCTTGGCCGTCCCTATGCATTCTACGAATTGCGCGCTGGTAAGATCGTTTCACAAACCTGTTAGCTGTATGGGGAAACGCAGAAGTCGCTGAAGTTATTACCCGGTGCTGGAGTTGTTCGCCCTATATCTGCATCTGAGCGCGCAGCAAAATGCATGTGAGTAGACGCGACGCTGTGACAACCTGATTGGTGCAGGGCTGTGAGATCCTTGCTCCAGAGGCAGGGCGTAGTAAGGGACCTTAGTGGGATCTGGGACTAGGCTTTGGGCCACTCCTATGGAAGAAGCCGGGTGGTGAAAATGGACGAGGTGGTTCGCTGTGCTGTTCACATGAGGGAGCTGGATTTAGCTTCAAGGGGCTTTCGACCTAGTTGGTCCCCAACCCTCGCGTCGACGAGGCGACTCAATGACAGAAAGGCAGAGTTGTGCATTGCCTCGTCCCCGGACTTGGGACCGGGGCAGCCCTGGCTTTACAGTCAGTTCTGTGCCGCCATTGAAGAAACGCGCTGCCGACGATATGTGCACCTCTATATACAATGCATGCTCGTAGGGAGGGGAAGTCTGTCAGTAGAAGCTGAAGACGTCTTTTCAGGGTGCATCTGTTCCGTCCTGTCCTGCAGATTCTGCGTTGTCTTCGGAGTGATATCCGGTGTCTCCATCTGCGCAATTGCCTTCTACGCGCATCGTGGTAGTCCTGATAACTGGATGTCTCGGACCTTGGCGGCCGACCTGATGATCAACTGGATGGTTGCGATGGTCTATGTAGGCCTGATGAACTGGATGGTTGAGAGGGTCTATGTAGGCCTGCTGGTTGGTCCTCCGCCATGTCACTGTCCTTGTCAGGTGGCTGGCTGTCGGGCGGCATAGGCATGTGGCCTCGTTGTACCGAGTATTGCAGGAACCAGCGCTGGAATTTGTCGCGGGACGTGGTGGGCAGCAAGGCCCAGAGGGTGCGTATGGCCATCTGGTAGAATAATGGAAGAGCCAGATCTGAGGCCAGTCTGGCGAAGTGTTGTGATTTCGCCAGTGAGCCATTGTCAAGCTTTGATCCAAATTCTTTAACCGCGAGCAGGTACATGGCTTGCAGGACCTGGCGTTTCGCCGGGTCGGTTTGCTTTCCAGTCAGGCGTATCCAGTTTCGGTCGTTGTGTGGGACCGGTCGGTAGAGGGCGGCTCGAAGGCAGGCATAGTCCTTTTGCAGCTGCTCCCCCGCTTCCGGTGGCAACTTCGGCAGGGTGATGCGCAGGACTCTGGGTGAGTCCATGTTGTGCTGCTGCCTTCTAACCGCTGTAATGCGAGAAGATGAAGTTCTCCTGCATGTCGGACACACTTGCGCAAATGGCATCTTGCCTGTAGAACCAGCAAAGTTCTTGCAAAAGGATGTTCCTGAACTCTTCCAGAGGCTCGGAGCGCTGTGATCGCAGGAGTCAGAGTCCGATGGTGGTTCAGGTTCCGCACAGCTGGATCTTTCAGAATCTCCCCCAGCAGAGCTAGGACTAAAATCCGCGAAG